CTTTCTCTCTCTCTCTCGATCAGATAATTGTTCTCCCGCGCATTCTACTCAGTTAAATGACAAAACTGTTGAGTTAATCGGGACAGATGGAAACGTCATTATTATAATTTGCGTAATCAAGATAATGTTATGCAGTGGCATATCGATATCGCTTCCCGTAAAACGTCGCTTGCAGATTATCGCTGCGCCGCAGTTAAAAAGTTTTGTTCGATCGCACAAAAATGACCGTCGTCAAAAAGCACCATTCCAAGCTGACTACATTTTTATATTCCTCAAAAAAAAAAAAAAAAAAAAAATCGGTCACGACGATTATTCGCTCGTCAATTTATCTCGCGCGCAATCGAGAGAGACGCGCAGTCGCGTTCTCTCTTTCCGTTTAATCGCAACGCTTACCGTGAGTATCGAATTTCCTGATGATGGTCTCGATGATCGTAGTTCTGGGCGCCACGTGACCTCGTCTAACAGGCATCTCAGGAACGGAATTCCCAGATATCTGGGCAGCCAGAGAACTTCCGCGTTTTCGTCCTGCGGGCGCACCGGGCCCTAATCTCTATCAATTGGTATAGTACCGCGTAAATAACACTAAAGCACTAGGAAAACACTCGCGGCGTACAATGCACGAGCACGGTAGAAAAAAGCACAGCACGAGTTGAGCATAGTGATTAGCCGTAAGACAGTAAGAGTTAACGTAACGCGACTTGACTCGAGGGGCAACAAAAAGAGAGATTCGTTGCTGTGAATCGGTGAACGGGGGCGTCGCGCAGACTGGCGACGCGTTTATCCGCTTCTTTTGAAGTTTTTTGTTTTTTTTTTTTTTTAATTAATACGAAAAAGATGACGCCACATCGGGAAGAGATCGTCGTCGTCCAAAGTAATAGCTTTGTTTCCGTTGTCTATATGTATATGTACATTCGCTCTATTTGTCTGCTAGAAATACTTAGATGTGCTCTCGTTGTTTTTTTGGTCTTGTTCGTCCTTTGCGATTTTATACCGAATAGACGGACAGCTGCGCGATTTTGCACGATATTGTACGAGGAAAAAACCTTGATGTTTTGTATAACTCTCTTACTCGCCGACGTTCATGATTTTGGACCCGGAGTTCTTCTCGTCTCTATCTAGATTTGTTTATCTAAGATCGCCGATGCGGGACGTCGCGACAATTCCTCCACGCCGTTGATCCAAAGGACGCGGGGAAAAGTCGGTCCCACCTTGTTGAATGGCCGCGACACATACGTGTCGCACATGCACGCGTTGCCTCTTTTCAAAATGTGCGTGTCTCTCGCGACGTGTGTCTGTGTGTGTGTGTATTTTATGTGTGTATGGGTGTGTGTGTGTGTGTCTTTCAAAAGACGCGATCCACGCGAGAAAACATCTATTTATAGTGAGGGATAACCGGACCGGCGTTCTCACGACTTTCAGAACGCGATTGGCAAATCCGGACACAGTTTCTGCGAACGTTCGCGTTTGTCGTCGATGATTTGAGGATGAGCTACGATAACGCCTCCGTCCTCCGACAACATTCTCGACGCGTTACGTCTTTCTCTCGCTCGGAACGTCTCATGTCGTTTTCCCGCAATTTCCACGTTTCAATTCGTGAAGACGAGTAGGTATATCGCGACGCGTCGCAATTTTCGAATCGAACGATTCAATTTGCGAATCGAGCGCGCGCTCAGCCGAAAAAAAAATATCAACGCGACGGCGTTGCGACGTCGCTGATTAACAGTCCCCAGGTTTCGACCCTGAGGAAATTTCCGATCAGAGGCACTTCTCCGCGATACACGCGGATTCGTTTTGACTTCGTGGGATCGAAGTCAGACTTCGCGTTAGCCAGTAAACTTGCGGACTTTGAACGTCTCGGAGAGGCGCATGGCTCGGACATTTCCACGACGTGATTGTTCGATCGCTCGCGTGCTCGAACGAGGGAACTGTGTTCGTCGGAAAACGAACTCGCGATTTCGCGCGCGATGAGTCGACGTTTCGTGCGAAAGGAGGGTTATAGGGCGTCGCAATGCTCAGGGGTGATAGAGGCGTCCCACGGTGTAACACGACAACGGTAAAGGCACGTGGTGTGGTTTGCAGTCGAGTTTACGTGGAATGCCGCGATCGAATCGATTCCACCTCGTCCCGACACGAGTCGCAGCGCTCGCCGACGCTAATCGAATGTCCGGCTATGTCTCTCCCTCCCTCTTTTTCTCTTTCTTTCTCTCTCTCTCTTTCTCTCTCTCTTCTTTTTTCTCTTTCCTTCGTTCTTTCTCTCTCGCACGTCTTCTGCCGCAATCGGTCAGCTGTGCATCTTTGCTCAACCACGGGAACAGCTATTTTTGTACTTCTTCCTCATCCTCCGCGACCATGCCCTACTACCGCTGTTGTCGCGGTCTTTCTCGGGATCCCCCTCGGATCATGCAGAACCCACGCCGAATCCCGTAAGATCCCGCCGCATACGATCTCGCGAATCGCCGACGAACAAGCACGCGCGTCGTCAGAGGTCAGATCGTTACAATGGGGGCACGACGCATCCACATCAGGATCAACGTTTCCGGGTGATACATAATAATTCGCGAAGAACACAGTAAGCGCTCTTTGGGTTTTTCTTTCTCTCTTTCGTTTCTTCGATTTTATTGTCACAAAAAACTTATTATTTTATATCAACACTCCGATTCACCGGACACATCTCATAGTTGATATCACTGTAAAGCTCATGTTTCACGTGGTTTTGGAGCTGCGCTGTCGGATGAACGCACGCAAACGACCTACCACGCCTTCGCGGGTCGACAAACCGAATCGCGGAGATACGATGCCCTCTCGCTGACCCTGCCAGATCTTCGACCCCTTTACCAGGGTCCTTTGTCATCGGTGAGGACACCTTACTGCTTGTCCTCCCGTATCATCTCGTCTCTGCACAACGTACTCCAGAGGAAGGTCACCGAACACTGTTGCTCCGTCCGCGTGCTCCGTAGCCTCCCTTTTCCCCTCGTCACCGCCGCGACGCTATTTACACAGGGGTGTCTCGGCACGTCCTTCGTGGATTTCGGCCTCGAGTGGCCGATGGTCACCGTGAACGCGGGTATCTTCGTATTTAGCCCGAGTCTCGCGGTTGGCGAGTCGCCGTCGTGTGTTCGGTCGGAGAACTGAGAACGCGAGAAGAGGCGCGAGACGGACCGACGTCTCTCTCTCTCTCGACGACGACGACGACGACGCCGGCGACGTCGGTACGTAACGGGGGGGACGGCTTAATGCACACGGCGCCTGCGTCGTGAAACACATCCCCCACCTGGGGTCACCCACTACGGCCACACACACACACCGTTCCATCGTCCGTTCGCCACCTTCCTTCCTTTCCCCTCACACCTTCCCTCTCGAAACGCGCGCGTCCACTGATAATATTGATAGGGCTCCACACACAGACCTCTCCGGTCACCCTCCCCATGGCGCCCTTCTGTCTTCCGCATCGGGGATAACCAAGCTTCGGGGTCACAGCCGTTGTGCGAGATACGCATTGTACGCGTTAATTTATAAAGACGTACGTAACAACGTCCTTTCGTGTCCCCGAATTTTAATTCCCGGTTTTATTGCTCGGGGCGCGATGAGAAAGAGAAAGAAAGAACTGTTACATCTATTTGTTGCTATACAAAGTCTTACGAAAAGTGAAACTTAGTAGCGCGGTGTGAATTTGAAACTTGCTTTCTCCGAGCAAAAATTTTAATCAACGTTATCTTATCACGTGTGGTTCTTAAATATACTTGCAAAAATTGTTTATTAGATTTCGAGTAAAAACTTTAATAACGTATAGAGTAGTTTTGAGATTATATGTTAACAAAAATTGCTGTTAAAAATTTGCTTTATAATTGTTTTCGAAGTTTTAGTTTTCGAAGATAAAAAGATTAAAATTTTCAATATAAAGTTCCAATACTATTTTGACGTCACAATATTATTCTTTCGCTTGAACAATCGACTTTAAAATACGAGGTGTTTTGTGACATTATGTATATGCGAAAAAGATGCTATGCTAAGAGCGTGACAGTAAATAACGATCGACAGTTTTTTACACGAAGTTCATATATCATACACGTGTGATTAAGTTTTACATAAGATGAAATAAAAAGTTGTTTTCAACAAACACAAAATGTCATATTACAAAAATGTACTTACAGATGTCACAGGAATAGTAGAGATGTTTATATCGTTTTATTATTTCGTTGATCTTTTCCTTTTAGCCGCTCGATGGCCGCTTGCAATCTGTTTGACACGAATATAAAAAATATATTTACGTACTTTCGATGTTTCTCGAAAATATATATTGGTTAAATGAATTGTTATTTAACAAACTTGTGCGTCTATCTGCAATCCTTTATAATAGAATATATGTTCTTAGCTCATTTTAATTTTATATATCATATTGTATTAGATGCATTTATAGGAATAAGGTAGACTTTTTTAAACTGACTGTATACGACCATTGGTTCGAGACAATCGCGACCTCTGTCGGCACGTTTCAGAATCATCGCGTTAAATTGTCGATATTCGGAGAATTGCAGATAAAAAAGTGAGCTATTGCAACAGACACCAGTAAATCATAACTTTTTACCAGATCGGACTTTTACCTGTAGCGAGACGAGAAACACGAATATGCGCCTAAATTTCTGTCTTCCGCCAATAGTCTTCGCGCGTCTTCGCGAGTTTTGTAACTCGTAGAACACTCGTATCGAGTCCGCTAACAATACGCGTTTGCGTGTACAAAATCACGTATTTCCGAAAACACACGCGTACAATAACACGAGAATATATAAAAGATATTCGATAGTATTATTGCGATAAAAACGTGCGATAAAAACCAAAATCTTTTCGAAGAAAAACGATCGCAACAACATGTCAGCTCAACGCGCCGGTTCCATTTGAAAACTGACGAAACTACCGCGTTCGGCGGCGCTCGGCAATCTTCGGCTGCCGGTGCTGCGGCTCCTGGCTGTACATACGGGGTTCACGACTTTCAACGCACGGAGCCCCACCCTGCCTGCCGCGCGCTAGACCCGTCGTCGTGTAGGAGCAGCAGCAGCAGCTCCGCTTGCTTCGTTTTGTCGTTCGTGTCGAGTTCTCTCGTGTGCTGTCGTCGAACAAAAAACAATTATCTCCGACCGTGATAATAATCTGGGCGCCGATTAATTTTGTGCATTTCGAGACGTTGAAGCGCACCGCACTGCGTGCGTCGCAACGCTCAACCTCAAAAAAGAGACGACCTGGTGCGGTGACAGTGATTTCTAGAAGGTAGAATTTGCGACAAAAACTCGGATTCAACCGTGCGTTCCTTTTACCCACTGACGGTGTCTCGAGGCGAGAGAGAGAAAGAGAGAGAGAGAGAGAGAGAGAGGTGTAACAAGAAAAGTACGGCGTCATTGATGTGAGCCGTGAACGACGACGAGGAAGAGCCGAGGAAGAGCGGGAGCGAGTGCGAACGAAGGCAGTGGGAAAGGAGGATACAAGAAAGCTGAGAGGAGCGGAGAAAAACCAAAGTTTCACAGGAAGCATCGGGTATGTGACGTAAAAATTCTTTATCTCGAGTTTCTCACGACTTCTGGAATAGTACTGCTACTCTCTCCGGCTATCTCGAGTCACCCGGCCCTTCGTGCCACTCGATACCCGCCGAGAGAGCCATCATGGCGACCGCCTATAAGCCTACGCTCTGTCAAAATCTCGGCGCTTGCCGTTATTTCAATCGCGCCGTTTCCCCGCCAAAGACGACGAGACACGTTCGATGACGGCAACTGCCACTCGATTTCTGCGAAATGTTCTGCGTTTCGTGTTGAAACGACGCGTGAAAACTCGGCTCGCTTGCTGAAAGTTCTCGCTGTTCGCTCGATTGCGCGAGCATCGTAAACGTCTCCGCTTCACCTCGTCTGCCGTACGTCGCGGCGCTACATTCATAACACCGCTTTCTTTATATTTGCATATATTCGAGAGAGAGAGAGAGAGAGAGAGAAAAGAAAGAAAAAGCCCGGTTTTCTTACCGACGTCGGTTAACGCGAACTGTCGTCAGCGTCGGCAAAGTACGCGAAGTAGTAGTACATATGCCGGAAATAGATCGAGCGTTGCTCGATTATATGACGCGACTCTATTATCGATGAGATTCATTGATCGAAGCGAGCTTCCGTGAAATTGAAACGGATCCTGTGATATTTTAGGAGTTAAAAAAAAAAAAAAAACAAGAATTTAAAGATCGCCCGACCCAGCCTCAGTGAGTCAGAGCTTGTTCAAGAGCGATAACGAGAATCTTCCTGCGCACACAACCTTTTTCCTCATTGTAAGAAATATTGTAGAAATACGCGTACGAAAACGACAACGTACTCGTTGCCGATTCGTGTTTTTCTGCTCGCGTTAAATTACACGAGAAATGAAATTTTTGTTACATCACAGTCACGGGCATTTCTAAGCAGCGTTGAGCGTTTATATGATAATCGCGACGAAAAGAGAAATTTTTTATTTATGGGAATGAGAGTCACAGAAAATTTATTGTTGAATTTTGTAACAAGTCAAAATCTAAAAAAAGATCGTCTCATATATTCAGTTTTTAATTAAATTAAAAATGATACAGTATTCTATTTTTGTTAAAAGAGTTATGAAACATGATTGATTTGCATATGAAAATTGATTTACATATGTGAGAAGTTTCAAAATTGCCCGATCGCAAATGGTTTTGTCTTCAGGAATGTTTACGCGTCACGTTCCGAAGACGTCCGCACCGGTTCTCCTTCGACGAAGTGACGCCCGTGACGTTTGTTTGACGATGACTTGGGTTATCTCGCAGCGTATAATACGCGCGTGTGTAACGCGAGTCTCTCGCCTTGCATAATATACGAAACCTCCACGGAAAAAAAACAAAGTCCGAAGTTTTCCCGGCACAAAATCTGCAAGCGTCCGTATGCTTGAAAGATTGTATGCGTTTTTTTTTGGCACAAAACACTCTTTTTCTAGAGTCTACTATTAATTGATTTTTGCGTTAAGATAGATGAGTTTAATGTTATTCAATTTTTCAATCTTATTCTCTCTCTCTCTCTCTCTCTCAATAAAATTTCAGATAATTGAAAGAAGAAACGATTGCTGTAAAAAAATAATATTTTTACTCTGTTACCGGAATAACGAGAGTCACGTATTACTTATTATTTGTTACTAAATCGTAACAGAGATAAATTATTTACTAGATCTGATCAGAAAAAGTTTAGAGCGATCGTAAATAGAAATGACGAGTAGAGTGGCGCGACTAATTGGGCGTTTCTTGCCTATTGCTAAGATTAACTCTTGACTGGTAATTTCTACTGCATCTTTCGCAAGATATTGATTCTGAGAAACGAAAAGCGCGACGCAAAATCTTTGAATTTTCTTACATAATAACTGATGCTCAAGCATTTTTTTTTTTTTATTTCTATTGCATGCGTGACTTGCGGAACTTTTATTAAGACACAATCAATAATTTTCCACGATATAAAACAAACGTTAGTAACTCGGAAATAACAAACCATATAAGAAATCATTTAAGTTACATTCTATATTTTATTATTTAACAAATTTTCTCTTTGTAAATATCTCAATTTATTATCTCGTAGTATTTATATCAATTGTTTTTGCAACAGAACAATCTGACGTTCTGTTGGATTTCCTGTTAACATTTCTTCTGTCGCTAAATCAGATTATTTTGTCCGTTTCTTCATTAATACTACAGCTTTTTTTATCGCGATTTTATTCCTTCCACGCACCTTGGCTCTCTTCTATAAATCTACATTCATATGAGTCATGCAAGGATGACCAATGGCGAAGAAAGCACGCGATTCTTACGGAGAAGTGATCTCTTTGACGCTCAGAAATAATAAACACACGTACAGATCTAACAGATTTCAGAGTAATGTCGGAACAAAGCGAGGTTGAAAATAAACGAAACTACAAGATAACAATAGATGCGTCGCGTGTTTACAGCTATCACGTTAGAATTGTCGGGGGATTATATAGTATTTTACGTGACAGACGAGGAGCAAATGTTGGATCTGATCCCCGTGGCGTGTAATGGGGAAGGGGGAAAAAAAATATTTGCGTCACGTTAAATTCCTTCTCACGATTGGTCGGCCACTTGCCGGTCGCAGCTGTTTTAATCGGCTTTAATTGCTCCGGAATATAAAGCCGTCGCGCGCGCACCGAAGACAAGTGGCGTCTTAAGCTCAATTGTCAACGCTCCACTTGAGACGCGTCGACGATCCGTGTTATCGATATACTCCCGATTGAACCCGGGGATCAATTGCACATCGTTGCTCACGTTTTTCTCGATTCCCACGTGATCGTTGAAACGATGCGATTGATAAGAGAGAAAGATTTCGCGTGTATTTTTCATTTTAACGCATCTCTCGGTTTTTTTTTCCACACTCTTTTAAGCTTTTATAGGGTTATTTTATGTACATATAAAATCTATACATATGACCTCGAGTTATTTATAAAATATACGTACATATACATTCCCATTTTATAAATATTTTGCACATATGTTCAGAAAAATGTCACTGAATATCTTTCTAAATAATCCGTGTTCTTTTTTGAATTGCAAAACGAAAGATATTTTTCCTCACTTCGTGACCTCCTATTTGCATAGAAGGCCAGACCTGTTCGGGTGTGCTGTTGCCCTACTCCTTGTGTAGTTTCGTGCGTGTAATTTCGTTGCGTCGGATAAATCGTCACGTGCATCAAACGGCGGCGGACGCGAGCTTCGTGCAGATGTGCTTCTCCCGATAGAAAACACCCGCCGAGAATCCTCCTAATAAACGATCGCGGTTTTCAAGACGGTTAGTAGGTCGCGCTACTTAGTCAGAAAGGGTCAACGTATTCAAGCTGGATGATGCCGTTCCGCCGTTAAAACCCCTCTTCGGTTACCCCCGTCATCCTCTTCCTTTCTATAAGCCCACGTCCTGTTTCTGTGACCGCGCGTCTCCCTTTTAACCCGTTACCGAGATACCGCGCCCCCTTCGCCGGAGACAAATACTCGAACGAGGTGGCAAAAACTGAGCAGCGTCGCTTAAAAAAAAAAAAAGAGCTTGTTTATCAGATTGGCAATTGATTCGTCAATTTGTTCCCTGGTGCTTCTGCACTTCGATTTAAATCGTGCTGATTGAATGATTGCGCACGTCCTTTTCCGCAAAATTTGCGATATTATCCTCTCGTTTCAGAGTTTTGTTTTTAATAGTAAGCAATTATTATTGTGTTATATAAATTATCAGCAAAACTGGGACACTGCTGACACTTAAAAAAAAAAAAAAAAATCTAACAGATGTGCTTTGTGGTAGCGATTCTTCTTGACGCGTCTAATGACGTCACGCGACTGCATTAAACTGGGACAGGGCTCAGCGCAACGTTCCGCGGCATATTCGGTTACGATAAAGCAACATCGAGATATTGTTATCGGAATTTTATTTTCCTCGGCAAAATTTCTGCAAATTTAATCTTCAATCTGTCCGATTTGTCTTAATCTTTGTTCGTCGGAGCGAAAGCTTCGTCGCTCGCGCGAGAGACAACTTTCTTCTCTCTTCTGACACTATTTTCATTCATAAAAGTAGCACCGGCTATTCCATTTTCTAGAACAGAATTGCGGTATAAATGTCGTTCATTGATATCGTAGCTAGACGATCAATATTATATACCAGCTTGTGTATTGAATGTAATTTACACGGTCCAGTTGGCTCGCACGTTAAGAGTCACACGCGCATTCAGACGCGCATTGATCTCCCCCGACTCGTGATATATTTATAACATAATTTCACAAATTGTTTATTTTGTCCACAAAGAAAGTCCGACTTTTCCTTGGAAACGCCCACGTGACGGCGCGTAAAAAAAAAAAAAAAAAACGAGCGTTAGATATTGCATTAGGTCCTAATATAGAAACGAGGACGAGTCTCCGTCTCCCTCGGCATCTACAAATTAACGAGCGACCACGGTGGCGCCACGCGACCTGCTCTCCAGGTTATTTTCTGACGTCACGACCTACCTTCTGACGTCATTCACTTGTACCTGCCTTTCTTTCTCTCTCTCTCTCTTTCTTTCTTTCTTTCTTTCTTTCTTTCTTTCTTTGTCTGTGTCTCGCGTGCGCTGCATCACTTTTCTCGCTTCAGGATTCGATGACCCGAGCGTGTATATTCCATTCGTATCTTGCTATTTCGGTTCTCCGATAAGATATACTTGCTGGTACAAAAAAAAAACACGTCACTTGTAAAAGCATTCGAGTGCGAGTCGCAGCCTACGTGAGGCACCGATTGATCGATCAAAAGCACTTGCGTCATTTGACGTATTTTTGGACGTTGATGATTCTGCGCTAATCTATATATGTGTATGTGTGGTCCTAATAAATTCAAATTAGCGTATACAAGTTGCAAAATCCAATTCCGAAAATCGGCAAACGATACTCTTCATAATTAATATCAATCCTAATAATTAACTTGGCTTCATTACAAGGAATCTAGCAGATAGGATCAAAACACAGGTCATAAAATTCAAAGGGAGCTCACACACAATTAGGTGTCAACTACAAAGGTCGGATGCGGTAAATTCAATTACCCGCGCTTCTCAACATTGGGTCAGGTAAAATTACTGGCACAACAGCGCGCGCGTACAGTGTCAGCTTACCAAACATGAGGCTAGTAAACCATAAGACGATCAAGCGAGTAGTTGGAAAACGTTGGCAAGCACCCTCAGGCAGGTGCAACAACGAACCTTCCGGTCTGTCGACCAACTGTCGGCGTGCGCGTTTTTCGCGGTCTGACTACTCTCTGATATATTCCAAGAGAAGTCGCTTGCCAAAGTCACATCAGCAAAGTACACGCTCTCGATGTCGAGTACTTGGCAGCCCTGCATGTGTATATGGTCGTACCGAGATACAGGGAAGGATCGGAGTAAACGAGAGCGAGAGAGAGAGAGAGAGAGAGAGAGAAAGAGAGAGAAATTGTATTGGACGTTGACCCTCGCGTACACGGCTCAACTGTTGCTCCCATTCGTGCATCCGGGAGTTCGCCGAAGGGAGAGACGACCTAGGGAATTTGATAATAGACCAGTCTCTTCCGTTAGACTCGAGTGTTTATCGCACGGACTTGATTCCGAGAACGGTCGTCGATAAAATTCTTCACGCGTGCAATTGAGAGTCACTTGAGATGCTGCACACCGGTGCTTTTTATCGAGCACGCCTATGTCAAAAGTGGGGTGACTGTCAAGTGGAGAAAGACTCGAGAAGATCTTAATATATATAGATTAAACAAAAAATTGTCACTGAATTAGCTTTAGATAGAATCAAAACCGATTAATCGTTATTATGCCGAGAAGAAGCTAACCTGGAAGAGCTAACGTTACTTTGTTGGTTTTGAAATTTCAAATTGGAACTACTGGAATTTTTGATCATTTATTAAATTCATTTTGTATTCTCTCTCTTTTTCTCTCTCTCTCTCTCTCGCTCTCTCTTTCTGTTTTTCTTTCTCTATAATTTTTTTATAAATAAATATCGAACCGCGAAAGGAAATGATTGATTTTTCTCTTTATTCCGTGCGACAAAAACAACGGTTTTTCCATTCAAAGACCTCGAGTTTGATCTCTGGCATTGACTGCCAGTTAGCCGAGTCTTGGCGTAGTGCCATCTGTCGCGATACAATCGGCTATTTTGAATGGTAGTATCGATTTGGACCAGCCCCACTTCTTCGATACGATGATTGACCAATGTTGATTCAAGTTCACATGTGCCCGATCGAAACTGCGATTGTTATCGCATTATTAATCACCAACACGCGACACCAAATCTTATTTATCGTCATCAATATTATTATCAGATATATCCCTGGGCATATATACACAAATCACGCTTTATCGTCTACTTTCTTCGAGGTTTTGTTATTCTTTTGAGCTGCATATATCAGTCGAGAAAATTTTGTGCCTGATAATATTATTATCTGGCGTTTTCTGATTGATTGTTATACGCATGCCGGTAATAACCGAGACGGCACGTTGGATGTGAATGATCGTACGGGTTACTGGCTGCTGCGTTTGCCGGCATCAGCAACTGCAGCTCGAGCAGCAACCTGTCGTCGTCGGCAACGATGACGGCGTCCTCTCGACGTCGGGGGGAAGAAGGGAAGGGGGTCGCAGACGGTCGGTACGCGGGCGCCGTGGCGCCAGCGTCGCCTCTCCCACCTTTCGGGCTCTCCCGTTCTCCCGGCCGGCCTTCTCGCAAAACCACGTCCTTCCTTGGGTGTGGTTCGAGATCGTCGAGACGTCTATCCCGCGAACAGAGCGAGTGCGGAACGCGTGTCATTCCCTCGGCTCCTTCTCGTCCTGACGTCGGTCTCCGCGGCTGGTCAACTCGCGTTGGTCTCCCGCGTCCCGTGCAATCGCGTGCTACTCGTGTCGCGTCAAACGAAACGAGATCGAGTGCGAAAGCGAGTCAGGCGTCGGAGCGAGAAAGCGAGTCGAACACGCAAAGGGTGCACGGTTAAAGAAAGAGAGGGAAAAAGAAAGAGCGCGACACGAGTGGGGCGAGTCGCACGACGACGTTCATCGATTCGTCTCGCACTTCTTCGATCGTGTAATAAGGAACGCGACGGAATAAAAAAAAAAAAGAAAAAAAAAAAAAAATAAAAATAAAGAAAAAAGAAAAATCCGAGAGTGCAACTTTTCGCGCAAAGTGTTCCCGGGAGATTTTCTGTGATTTCTGTGATGTATGACCAGTAACCTCACTGTGGATACCGCAGAAAAGGTACCGGAAAATGTACGAAAAATCGCAACTGGAAATAGAACGGGAATCGTGGAACTAGTTCCTGCATTTAGCTCGCAGCAGCAGCGCTAAGAACACCCGTTTTATCTATATAAAAGTTCAGTGCTTTTTTTTTTTTTCAATCATCGAGGAGAAAGTCCGAGTTTTTCTCGAAAGAGAATTGCGTTTTGACGGGCGCAACCTGGCGGTGACGAGCAACAGCGCTTCTGACGGGACTGCACGTCCGCTTCGACCCGGTGGTAGCGACGACGGCGGTGGTGGTGACGGTGGTGGTGGCTCTTTCACGAACAGAAGAGGTTATGTCGTCTTGGGCTCGATGACGCTCCTCTGACAGCAGTGGCGGTGACGGTGGGACGGACCAAGTGAGTTCCATCGATGCGTGTAAACCACCATCTTTCCGCTCCGATGCCTCCGTAGGCGAGGACATCGTCGCCTCTTTTTTTTCCTTCTCGCCGATCGAAGCCGCCGCGAGATTCTCGTTGCTCTCTCGCCATTAGTTAAAGCCGAGACAATGGCGTCCATCGATGGGAAAAAGCGGAAGAGCGATATACTACGTGACATCGTCCGCGTTTCTCGCTCGTTGTCAATAGCACCCTTTCTCATTATCGATAATGCACGAAAGCTCCGAGATTAACCGACGTTTTTGTTTCTGAAACTCCATACCGTACGGCGGAGTGATTGTCAATTATTCATTGATAACATTCTCGCGTCTGGCGATACGATTTTAATAATAAAATTCTGTCTCTGAGTCACCTTGTCAATCTACATTATTTCTTTCTTTTGTTACATGAATTGTTTTTATATTTGCTGATTCTTTTGACGCAAAAAAAAAAAAAAAGAACGATATATTCGTTTGTCATCAAGTCACATTTCTCTTTTTTTTTCGACGGCTGCATGTTAAATTTAAACAGAAAGAAAAGTGGTTGAACACCACTTTCTCTGATTTATCATCTACTTTTTTTACTATCCATAGAAAGAACTGACAATGTGTAAAAAATATTTTCCACAAGTCATTCATTCGTTCTCTCGCACAAATTTGCTAGAATTTCTCTTTGCATTTTCTCATTCGGTTAACTTATTTTCCGAAGAGCTCTCATGCATATAGTTAAATTAATATGGAATTTTCATTCCGCATATTTAAATTAACATGAGCGGATCAAAATTAATTCACATCATACATTCTATCAGTTATAAAAGCTGATATTTTCCGGTTTGCACGTTTGCGCAAGCGCCGAACTTGGTTCTCTCGCCGGCTCTCTCCGGAAAATGAGAACACACTTCGCGTTGAATCGACATCCCTCCCGGTTTTCCCGGGTCGCGAGATATCTCGCGGAGGTGAAGGACGACGCATCACGAATTCCCGTGTTTCGTGATTTTTCAAACGTGATCGACCACCGTTTGCACGGCACAACAGAGGAGAAACTCATAAATCATACGCTCGAGAATATTTGTCTCGCTTTCGAGAGAGGAAAAAAACCCTCATAGTTTGTGACATCGCTAAACTCATTACTCAATTGATTTATGCATTTAAAACCAACATGTAGCACAGTTAATTAGAATAAAAATAATCAATCAGTGTTTCGTCAAGTTAATTAGAATAAGAACAATCAAATCAGTATTTCGTCATTTTATTCACGCAGAGATTAATTGATTTTTCATAATTACGTGTTTTGTATTTCTGTCTGATTTCTCCGATGAAAATTCTAAAACGAACATTGTCTCTTGCTTGATTTGTATTTGAATGGGATTACTCTTAAAACGATATAGAATAAAATAATAACGCTCGAATTCTTTACATACTGATAAAAACTGAAATAAATGGAGAAACCAGTTTGTCGGAGGAATATTACTGTTTTCGACGAATAATACAAAGATTTTCGACGAAAGTAATTTACAAAGAAAGTGAAAAACATATCAGTGTTTTTTTCAGTTTATTATTGTCTTTTTTTTTTAATATATTGATGTTACAATGCAATAACAAACAATTATATCAACGTCAATCGTTGTCGCGATTGTTGTCGATTATATTGTTCATGACAGACAGTTTTCTCGGAAAGTATATATGTACTAACGAGAAGTCGAATCTCGATTCGCAAGAGCTTGGAAGAAGAGAGGCCGAGATAAAAATATCTGCGCGCGATACAGCCAAAATATTTTTAGCGAGATGATAATTATATTTTATTTTTCTTTGCACGTCTGTTGTGTGTGTGATAAGAGAGACGTTCTTCCATTAGCGCAGAATGATATTTTAAGTAAAGCCTCAAACGCGAATGTTTTTATTCGCTTTGTTTAACGCAAATGCGAATTGTTTTCAGCAATAACATATATTTTAACTTTGTCAGTTAAATGTTTTATGTATTTTATTTTATATTTAGCTAAAAAGAAAAACAATGTTTTGCAACGGTCAGTGCGAATTGTAATTCAATTTATCTACGTTATTCTCTCTCGATCGTTGAAATAGAGCAGGGGCTTTTTTTTTTAATAGGCTAGCGATATGAATTACCGTGCGTCTGGAAATAACTATTTATTTTCACTGGCACGTTATTCTCGAATAACGGCACACATGCCAATTAGCAAGCCAGCAAACTATACAAACAACAATACAACAAATATATTTTAGATATTTCAATTTATCATACAGATAACTATCACAGTACAAATCTAGTATTGACTTTTTTGTGTTGTTTAACGTGTTTTAGACTTTTTTTCTCGACGCTATATATAGATATTACGCAAAGTTACCAAAGACGAGTTTATATATTGTGGTCATTAAAAAGCCACACGAGCAAGTTTTGAATGAGGTTTGCTTTTAGTATGTTGTCTATATGTATATCCGTCTTTTTTTCGAATCGCAATTCGCGCGCACGTTGCCACGTGAAATTTAACATGTTCTTTGACTTGTGGTATCATATATGACAGACAAAACCTTAAAAATCTCAATTTATTTTATTTATTTACAAAGACTGAAACAATTAAAATTATGTAAAGAATCCAATAAAAAGAGAAAATAAATTTTAATTAGTTTAAGATTTTCAATTAACGCTTTAAAAAAAAAAACAAACTATCGACAATAATCAGTTGTTTCATAAATTTATTTAATACAATATAAAATTGAAGTTTTGTTTCTCAGAGAATGTAATATAAAAGAATAATAAGAGAACAACAATATTAGACTATTATATTTATATTTTTATAGGATATTATTTATATTTAAGACTTAAAATTTCACATGTCTCGATAATGTTATGCAGAATTCTTTTCTCAAACACTACGTCGAGTCTTCATCTCGATATAAAAATATAAAAGGTAAAAATACAAGACACGTATGATTGACATTATTATCAGTGTCTATCAGATATAATAAACCGACTTGATGTTCTCTGTTCCAGGAGTGGCAACGGGAAGTGTAAAAGCTGGCGTGTGGGACAGTAAACTCAGGTGTGGACAGGTTCTAGTTCCTGTGATAGCTATAGAAGAGGAAGTAACAAAAACAAGAAACGAGGAAGTGAGTCGGAAAGGACTAGTAGTAATTCCGGCATCTGCATCTACCTCTTCGTTTGCTTCCTACATTACGAAAGTGCATAGGTTGGGAGCGCCCGTCACGAACTATCAGCAGTGATAACGGGCGCTCATAAGGTCTCACACGTTACCAATCAAACATCAACATGAACGAGTTGGAGAGCCTTCGTCAGGAGGCAGAAACCTTGAAAAATGCGATCCGAGTAAGTTTTTTTGGCTTTGAGATTTATTATTTTTCCTGATCTAATTCGCGTGACGTAAAAATTATAAGCGAATACCTTAAAATATTTACAGTACTTCTGCGGTGTACAAATATATATATTCTGATTTTTAATGGTGTGATGTTACGGAATGAATTACAAACGCAAAACTAGAGTTTTTTTTTATTTTATTGTATAAACAATAATATATCTTGAATTATATCATTCTAAACATGAAATAAAATTTGTTAAATCTGCGCGCGTACGTAATATGAACATGAGATAAATTTATCACAACTTTACAATTTTATTAATATTCGATAGAACAATTTTTTTTATATCTAATTAAACAGATTGGATTTTTCTCTTGTGTCAAACTGTGCGATTTTTGTAATGTTTTGCTGGTTTTCTCCATTCCTCTTTCTCTCTCACGCGCTGATGCGGATATCGTAAATTTCAATTGACAGAAGATCCTCGTGTATGGCGAATGGACTTTCCGTATAGTTGTGAGAATATGGAGTCAACCTAGTGGTGGTAGTGTAGTAGGGTGGTAGAGTATAGTGGTGGTAGGGCGCGGCATAAACCGTCGCTTCTCTGATCAATACACCACCATCCCTCTCTCGCTCACTTTATGTCTTATTTTTTTTTCTCTCGATATATTCGTCGCGTTGTTTCTTTTCTGTTCTCTCTTTCCTCTTCTTTCTTACGTGGATATGAAACACGCGCTCGCGCATTATTGCGCGAAAATATATGCTTCCATTAAAAAAAAAATAGTTCGTCTTATTTGATCATCATTATTCAAGATGCTTATGAAGTTCTTTTTGCACTATTATTTAGTAAACAAACTGCTTTATATTGCAAAATCAGATGCATATATACGTATATATACACACATACATGTTTACAAAAGCACATTATATGAATAATAAAATATTTTCTTGAAGTATGTGTAAGTATTTTCTCGAAGTATGTGTAATAATTATTTTTATGTAGATAATTAGATATTTTATTTAGACTACTGATATACTTTAATTAAATGATTTAACAATTAGTTTTTATATTAGTTTGTCAATGTTTAATATAAATTTAGTTAATATTATTTATCATTATCGAAGCACAATATATTATCATCAGTGATGTGATGTATAAAATGTACGATAAATTGGTTTACAACAAACGAATTATGTGTGAATATAATCTAACAATTATTCAATGATTATCTCAATCACACATATTTAGTATCGTGAAGATAGAGCGTTTATATATTCAACGTGCACTACTATTAAATTACTTTAGACACTTTTATGATTGTCTAAAGGTCAACTTGTATTTTATGATTGTATAAAGGTCAACTTGGAAAGGTAGAGAATCATGACAATATCGAACTAAAGACACGCGAACACGATTTACTAAATCACTTGTTTATTGAAATTTTTTCTCCATCACGTAACTCAGTTTTTCTAATTTCTTAAAAACTTACGGAAACTTCTAGCATTATTTTCACTCATGTACTTTATCGCGAACGTTGTTTACTTTTTAGTGCTGAACTTGTACGTACGTTCGTGTTTGAAAAACATATATACGGAGCTGAAATGGCACGTACACGAGCATGACATTTAATTAATTAAGAAATGTCTTAAACTTGCGACGACACTCGCACATTCTCTCTACTGTAATTTTCTGACTAGAATATCTGAAAATCTTTTAAAACTGGAATTACTGAACATTACTGAACACATAGAAGTGTAAATAAGATTTCTCATCGGATTTTACGTGATTAATGAATAATTGCATATAACAAAAATAACGTTTGTCTCGCGATAATGCAGATATTTGTTACACATACATGAAACATACAGATTTTTACTTCCAATGATACAAATTTGTACATGATTTGATGCTATAGGATGCGCGGAAGGCAGCATGCGACACCACTTTGGCTCAGGCCACGGCAACCATGGAGCCAATTGGGAGAATACAAATGCGTACAAGAAGAACATTGCGTGGACACCTGGCAAAAATTTATGCCATGCACTGGGGTAGCGATTCTAGGTATGATGTTTAAGATATTATGATTGGGGATAAAAACAGTAAAGTCTGAAGATGTTGACTTTCTGAGTATTAATTAAAGTTTGTCAAAAATTTGTGGTGGAAGAATTAAAGAAAGCAAAACAGAATTTGCACATATTATTAGATCATATATATAGTTTTGCATTATAAAAGTCTAATCTTTGAGGATTACTGAAAGACAAGAGAAGTTTCCTACACTTCTTTCAACGAGCTTTGTTTGTCAATTTGTGTTTTGTTCCACTTACATAGGAACCTTGTTTCTGCTTCCCAAGACGGCAAATTAATCGTTTGGGACAGTTATACGACCAATAAGGTTCACGCTATTCCACTGCGATCTTCATGGGTAATGACATGTGCGTATGCACCTTCGGGTAGCTACGTGGCATGCGGAGGGCTGGACAATATCTGTTCTATTTATAGTCTTAAAACTAGAGAAGGAAACGTACGGGTGAGCAGAGAACTGCCAGGACATACAGGCTATTTGTCTTGCTGTCGGTTCTATGATGATAACCAAATTGTCACTAGTTCCGGTGATATGTCATGGTAAGTATCGGCTAGATAATTTTATATATTTATAGGTGCGTTGATTGTAGAAGATTTTATTTTTATGTAAATAAAATATAGAGTAAAGATACATGAATGTAAAAAAACTTTTTTTATGTATGTTTTACATAGATAAAAATAGTGCAAAATTAATATGAAATTAACATATGTTTGCAAAGTATTTCTTTCCTTATTCCTTTTCCCGAATTCCTTTAAAAAAAAAAGAAAGGAAACTTTCCTGAAGATCTTGAAGATTCCTCAGTTCTGAAGATTGTCTACGTGGCGCAAAATAAAAGAACGCTAAATTGTTTTCACTCAGCGCTCTGTGGGACATTGAGACCGGTCAGCAATGCACGTCATTTCTTGGGCACAGCGGAGACGTAATGTCCTTATCACTGGCGCCCGACTCACGCACTTTTGTATCTGGTGCGTGCGACGCGAGCGCAAAGCTGTGGGATATTCGCGAGGGATGTTGCAAGCAAACTTTTCCGGGCCACGAAAGTGACATAAATGCCGTAACGGTGAGATGTTAACAAATAAAAACTTTTTTGTTTTTATATATAGTGCCACTGGGTTTTCGAAGTTTATATCTGACTATATTTGAAACATATTACTTACAGTTCTTCCCGAACGGCTATGCATTTGCAACAGGTTCGGATGACGCTACATGCAGGTTGTTTGATATAAGAGCGGATCAAGAACTGGCAATGTACAGTCATGACAATATTATCTGCGGAATAACCAGTGTCGCTTTTAGCAAGAGCGGCAGATTATTATTGGCTGGCTATGATGATTTTAATTGTAACGTATGGGACTCGATGAAAACAGAACGAGCAGGTAGGTTAATCAGCTACAATCTGTGATACAATGGTTTCCATGAAGAGAGAAGAGAGATTTCATCCGAGGTCCTTCTCTCAATGATTATTTCTTCTTAATTTTCTAATTTCGCGACAACTTCAATGCAAATGACGCTGTTTACATTTGTTTTGTTAACAAATGTTTTGTATTTTTGTTGTATAGGAATTCTCGCTGGACACGATAATCGCGTATCGTGTCTCGGTGTTACGGAGGATGGTATGGCAGTAGCCACAGGTTCGTGGGATTCCTTCCTACGAATATGGAACTAACTTGGGGCTCCACGTAGTTCTTTCATACAAAAAACCTGTCAACCAGCCAGGTATACTATAAAAATTAAGTACCATCATCTGACCACCGAGCAAGTCGGCGTGCCAGCAGCCTCAACGTTAGCCAACAACCTGTCAGGTTCACCGGAGTTAACGCTGATAAAAAACTTTGAGTACCAGCTTAACAACAGCAACAGCGACGATTTCAAGAACGTGTTAGGTTGTGGTGGTACAAAAGACTTACGCAGCAGGCGCATCGACTTGACTTGGCGACGCGGTAAAGTCGGCTATACAGACCACGAATATCAACGCTTTTAGGATAAATTGGCTCGAGCTGGATTGGAAAGAAGTGCGCAACGAGATGGAAGAATGTAGAACATGTGGCACTTTTTTCGTAGAGATTTTAAATGTTTACCGCGTTCACTGCCGAGACGATTGGGTACTTTTCCTATGCACGAGACGAGATATCAAGTGGGATGCGATACGCAACCGTAACGTTGCGTCAAAATGCGAAAAAGGAAGACGAACAACCAAAATTTCAATGATGCGTTCGTCAAGTCACACGACGCACACTAAACGCACACGTGCATTAATAGAAATTCACGACGTGAATTGCATACACCTGCACACGAAGGCGATTGGACGGATAAAAGAAAGTCAAGATCCGGATTCACTAGCAGCCTCATCGAGACACATCGGAATCGCACACATAAGCACTAAGCGGCTGAGCGGAATAAGAAAGAGGAAGATGAGATGATCACTTTTCTTACCACAATAATATGTCACACCGTTTATTAATATTGCTAAGTACTACCGCGATTTCCTCGGTTAATTTCGTAGATGTATTGTTATTTATTTTGTATAGACCTCTGCCATAGGCCGCCTTGCGCCTGCGTTTTTTTTTTGTTTTTTTTTTTTTTTTTTTTTTTTTTTTGCGAGTGCGAGAACGACTGAGCGTGTTGTGAAAAACGAGTGAACGAAATTAGTGAGAGCGTGAAAACGTGAACGAGAAGCGCGCGGCCCATTGCCAATCAAAAAAAGAAAAAAGAAAGAAACAAGATGTGAAACGCGAGGATGAAGCAGTGGATGCTGAATATCCGGTCGCTTCTTCAGTAAATAATACGTAATGAGACAGTTTAGGACGTCGACGTATTATGTTATCCCGAAATGTGTAATCATTTTTAGTTCATAGTGTCTATATTCCTAACCTTTCTCCCGCCTTCTCTACAATTACTTCTGATTATGATACGACGGCGAGAAGGAGAAGAAGAATCAGTCTGTGCGACTGCGAAGTCCCGTATCTCTTCCCACTATTGATTCAGCACCAACTAATCCTCGTGCATGAGACAGGCGCGTACTCGATCGAAAGAGTCGTGCTGGAAGTTCCTTTGAAATAGGACCCAAAGAATCACGGGCTGAAGAAAGGGCCGCCAGACCAAACTCTCTTTCTTCCCCTTTTGTCTTTTTGTTTTTTTTTTTTTTTTATATATATATATATACCTTTCTCTTCCTTCATCGCGTTTTATTTGTCATTTGCCTATTTCATACATTTGTAAGTATTTGTACTTTCTCGATAACTTTTAAGCTCCATTCTGTATCCCCCTTTTCCATATTATTTTATCTTTTCTCTCCTTTTTCCCTTCCGTCCTCATCCCTTCTGTCTGTACTGTCCTTTTTTTTGTCAGAAATAGATGTTGATACTGTGTATGCATTTAAAATAATAATATTAATGATAATGAGTATAATATTAATAATATTATAATATGATTGTAATTTATATATAATTATTAATGTTTAATATATAAGTACCTAAGATTGATGGTTCTTCAATATTGCAGGATTATGGTCCAATCGCCTTCCGGCAACTACGCTACCTACTATATCCCTTTAATTTCTCTTTTTTTTTGTGTTAAGAATTTTATACATTTATATAAATAAGGTTGTAGTTAAGCGCATTATCCCTTGTTATTTTTTACTTTTAAAAAATTCGAGAGAAATTTAAATATCTAAATTTGCTACAAGCATTCGCTTCGGCGATTCTTAGTCCTGATTACATAATCATATAAACATGTAATGTAAATATCATATGAAAAGTCGTTGCTTACATTTGTAGAAATTATTTACATTACAGCAAGCTGTTGAATTAAGCGGGGAAAACTGTGAAAGTTTAATCTTTAGACCGCCGGCATGATAATGCCGTATGGAATCGCTATTGGGACGCTATAATATACCGTCTTTTAGAGAAGAGTTTTCTTCCGTTTGACTTGATTTGTGAAAACAAATATTCAGAAAATCTAAATATGTTGTTAAATGGCGTAGTTTAGCTTTCGAATTCGTCGTAATCTAAGATACAAAATTTATTTATACATAATTAGCTTACTGATAGTGCTACTGTACTGAAAGACTTTTGCAATTCGACATCAAAATCGTAACCAGCGATATAAAAAATTCTTAGAAACACCATTTTTCAAAATTTGAAAATTTGATACTTTTCACTTTCGTTCCCCGCCGATCGGAGCCAGATGAAACTTAGGGCACTCCACGCAATGTAATAAACTCAATTTATATACAAATATGGCGGGAAAAATACCATGTTTTTAATGAAAAAATGCCGGCGGTCTAAAGGTTAAAAGCGTGGATTCCGGAAGGCGACTGTTGAAAAAAATTTTTTCATCTGAACAAAAAGTATGTACAATTCGGTTACAAAGCAAGCGAGAGTACAAGTGAGATTTCCGAGAATCTTCGAGAAATGTTGCAAATTTAGAACGTTTAAATCGATTCTTTTTTTTATACACAAAAAAAAAATATATATATATATACACAACACACGCACACACACACATACACACACTATGACGTTTGAACTAATCTCGCTTTACGTAATGCTTTCTATTCATTAAGATATCAAACCGACAAAAGACCTTCCTCCGTCAAAGCAAAGATAGTTTTTTGGTTTCTTTCGATATTCTTTGTACGATTAAGAATTCTTCCGAAGTTCGATTCGAGACCGGATGTTATATATCACATATATTCGAGCGAGAGAATACACAGAACCAGTCTTTTCTTCGAAATTTTGAAGTACTGCGAAGAGAAATGATCTTATAGAAAAAAAAAAAGAAGACAAACTATACAAAAGAAAGAGGAGAGACTTTTTAATAAGCAGAATTAATATGGAAATAGATCTGTGTTTTTTGCATTTCGCGATTCCGTAACTTCCTCGAGGAAGTTCCATCTCCTTTTTGTACCTTGAAGCAATACAATTTCTTACCCTTGATATGACAAAAAAAAAAAATACAAAATGTAGTTCTGTCGTCGAGTAACGCAAAAAGATTAACAAGTTCTATATTATGCCTCTAGTCATTTATAACGGCACGTGCGCAGTAAAAAACAAAATAAACCGCAAGTTAAAGCCTTTGTAAGCGAGAATCTGTTTTTGTTTTTTTTTTGTTTGTTTTTTTTTTTTTGTAACATTTCCTTGTTCGAGCGGACAAGATTGTGAGAGCTAATCTGAAACTTTTTGAGTTTGCTTCTGTTAAAGTATCGCAGATATATCGTTTAGATTAATTGTGACGCAGGAGGAGAGAACTAACAGCGAAAAAAATACCACAAACTCTTTGATGAAATCAGACTTTTTCTTCCTCTCTTTTGAACCTTTAAGAATACAAACTGAATAAAAGTACTTGCAAAAGAAATCAAACGTGGCGTTTCTTCGTTTATTATTTTTACCGCTTCTTCGCTTTCTGTTTCCTCCCATTGTGAACAACTCGTTTCGCATAGTTTTTACGTTGTCACGCTATTCCCCCCCTCCCCCCAAATCTTTACATTTTAATTTTGTACGTAATTACTTTATACACCGAATATGCATCATCGTTCATTTCGCAGTGCCCCGATAAGAGGTTCACGAGAGATCGCATGGTGTGCGTTGGGTTCTATTTCAATTGTGGAATAAAAATCGTTATGAGACGCGCAAAACGCGCGCACGTAATAATAAGAAAGAACGTGAAAAGAAAAAAAGATAGAAGAAAGGAGAAAACGAAACACGAAGAATGTGCCGACAACATTTTGGTGATTTGCTTTACGTCGAGGAAATAGAATTGCGTAAGATGAGGAAATAACATCAATAAATAACTGCCTCCTTAAAGTAGTAAAGCATGTGAAATTAAGAATAAGAATAAATTACTAATATGTAGTACATGTGCATTGTACGTAAAAAATGCAACATACAACAAAGATCTGTGTTAAAAGTTTACAAATTGAGACGCGCAAGTAGACGCGATCGCATTGAGACTAAGTAAAAGACGTGGAGTGAAAAGTGCATCGATGAAGATCGAGATAGAAGTGCGAAGAAGTATCGGTGAGAACGTTACTCGGGGAAAAAACAAAAAAGTGTACATTCACTCAGCAAACTGAAAATCAGAAAAACATACGATTTCACTGTTAAATGGTAGATAGTTAAAAATATTTCATCACTTTTTTATATATAAAAAAGATATATATATATACGTATATATATATATATATATAAATATATATATATATATATATAAATAATGATAATTAATCACTATTGACGGTTAGCCTAGGTCATTCGCCTATATAGTCATTTGGTCGTACAGAGGTCGTTTCCACGAGGCAATAAAGTTCCGACGAATTGATTTCTGTCTTTCGTTAAATTTCGTTTGCTGTGAACAAGCACTAATCTAATTGATCAAATTACTAATTGTGTTTTTAATAATATAGTTATCTTTTGTGCGTATGTGTGTGTGTGTGTGTGTGTGCGAGCGTGCGTGTGTCTGTGTAAGCCTCGTGGATTTTCCTTCTGCGAAATTCATCGTTATTTGCATGATGTTAGGAAGAATTGTTTCGAAAGAGATTGAAAGTTGAAGAATCGCACACAAGAAGTACGAAGGAGAGAAAGGCAAATCACACACGGATCAGTTATAGATGAATAATCGCGCAAACATAGGTATGCGCGCGCGAGCGTCAATGAAGCCGCGTAATAAAGAGTTTTCTTCATCTGTATTGGGTCGTTTCCACGTTTCATACCTAGAAATGTGTTTTTTCGAATATACAGAGAGAAATCTGTTTATATCTGCGATTAATATTTTCACTCTGTGAAGAATTAATCGAAACATCGTGTCAAACGTGTCTTTGAAACATTCCGCGAAGTTTACGCGAGAAATATATATATATATCGCGGAAATGATTCTTTCAAACACCAAAAGATCATCTGCCCGCGTTCATTCATCTCGTCACACATCATCGGGATTGTAGAAAACAAAAAACAAAACAGCGCGTGTGATACACGTATAGAGGCTATTCGACATAAATTAAAGTTACGGAGACGAACACTTACTAGATATCGATATATTGTCATCTCTCTTATCATTATGTTATCTGATCCTCCCGCTGCACGATTTCCGAAAAATGACACGCAAGATAAAAATCGTTGCGGGGGACGCGGATCGATTCGCCATCACGTTAATTTCGCGAAACTATGTGATTTGTAGTTATGTGCGTGTGAACGAGACTGCAGTACGTGAAGAAGTGCTCGGCTCTCTGTCTTCTGCGTGCATTTGTTCTCTGTGCATTTTTTGAGAATTATTATTGAGAGCGAAAAATAAAATACAAAAAAAAAAAGAGAGAGAAAACATTCGAATGCGTTTCGACGAAAACATTCGCGACGCGCGAAACTTGCGAAAGAGTAAACTGTTTTTGTCGAAATCGCAAAATTATATTACGTGTTAATCAAATATTTAATTGCTACCCTACGTCTCGTTAAATATATACGTTATTTCATGATGCATATTGAACTTATGAAACATCCAGTAAAATTGTGAATCGCAAGCACGAACGTCACGGAGGGGGCGAGCGTTATTAAAGTTGTTCTACATTGATCGCAGTGTGTTGAGTCACATATGTTCTATAATTGTCGCAAGAATTTGTGGGTGATTTGAGCGTCTACATTGTCGCAAGTTACAGCCAATCAGCAAAGAGCACCGAAGCGAATGATTTTTTTTTTTTTTTTTTTTTTTGACATTTATAATGGTCCACGAGTGTAACATCTCTCGCGATGAGAGATCTCAACGCTCATTGGCTATTGCAGAGACGCAAATTTTGGCGCAAACCTTTTGCGATTTCGACGATCGCGTAGAGCTTGCGATCGTGCGATCGACTGCTCGCGTTTAATGTAGAAACGACCTTTGAACAGTGTTTGTATAGTGTTCGATAATAATAGAACTTTCGATTTTAATGTCGTACTTTATAAGTCGTTTATATAGTTATCGACGAGTTTTTTTAAACACAGAAAAAGAGAAATACATACGTAAATATATCTAAGAGAGGATTGCAAACGAGTCCTGAGCGGGATCGCGAACTCAAGTCACGAGCTTTTGTTACTTCACGTATTATAATAACAATAGCGTAAATTTTCGATTTCTTCATGACGTATTTCATTAATATATGTATATATATATATATACATATATATATATATATATGTATATATATACACGATTCTACTGAAAAAAAGCCGAAGTCTAGTAAGAGAAAGGCATTTTTACGAACGACTGCGTCATCGACACTTATGATTCTGTAAAAAAAAAAAAAAAAAACAACGTTTTTCTTTGGCCGCGCCTCAAATCGTCTAACGATTTTCACGTGATTTTATTGTAAACTCTCAGTAGAGAAGTGCTAAACGAAGGTCTGGTACGTTCGATCTGCAATCATGAAGGAGAAAAACGGGGAATTATAGCAAATCACGTATATTTTATGCGCTGCGTGTGCATGTATGTGTAAGTTTTTTCACGCTTCTTACATAACTAAAACGATAGAGATCGGCGTAAGGCGTGCGCGCACATCAGTGTAAAACCCGTTTTAAGATAAAATCTAGATGTGTTAGAACAAGTTTCTAATGTCATGTATAAATTAACGTTACACACACATTTATGTGATAGAGTGTATATTGTAAAATCAAAATTTTTGTTTACACGTACGTCTCTTTCGACGATATAAAGAACGGAATTGCTTTGGTCAAACATTTATTTCTCACACTTCTTAACGATTCGCGAAAATATGTTGTATGACAATCTTAATTACGAAACAATTATCGAAGTACAAAGTTATGACAAGAACTTTATCTACATAAAAAAACGCTTATCAATTACGCTGTTTTAAGAAATATGAAGATGCATCACATTAAATGTTAACTTACGACGAAGTTTCGTCCGAACTGGGAACAAAAGTAACGAAGAAAGGAACGGCGAGAAAAAAAAAAAAAAATAAATAAATAAAAGGATTTATTCTTGTTGCGCAACACAGTAAAAAAAAAAGACTGACGCATTTTTCAGTGTCAAAGCGATTAAATAATAAAACTCTTATAAGAAAAACCGAGGTGCAAAAGAACAAAAAAAAAAAAAAAAATACCAAAGGAAGTGTGACAAGTGACAAAAGTTCTGTTGCTTCTGCTTCGTGATTGCAAATTAGAGTAAACCGGAATTAAGTCTGCTGCTGTTGTCGAAGACAATTTGCTTCTTTTATATGCTCTTTAAAAAAAAAAAAAAAAAAAAAAACCCAAGGTAAATAATTACGGAGCGTCTCTCTTCTCACGAAGACGCTGCTCGATTTTGATATATCGACGAAATATCTATACGTACAGAGCCGATGCGACTCTACGATAAGAAACAAAGAGAAACTGCAAGTAAAGGGTCTGCTTTCCAGTTTTCGAGAATAAAAAAAAAAAAAAAAAGTCTAGCACGTAAGATGTATACTGTGTTAAGCCGTAGCTCGTAAGGTTGTAACGCGTATGTAATAATCATTACCACACAGCAAACGATGACAAACTATACAAACTATGATCGCATTAAATTATAAAACAAGGAGACACTTAAAGCGACGTACAGGATGTCGATAAAGTGCCGATCGACGGAAGCAACGGAAATTACATATTCATGAAAAGAAACGTATAATCTTTCATCCTCGCGCGATTTCCTCTTGAATATCTCTCTCTCTCTTTCCCTTTCTCTCTCTCTCTCTCTCCCTCTCTCTTTCTTTCTCTCTCATTTGCGATCGTCGATCGTTCTCTTTAATCGATGCTCGGTACGTTTCTAAAGACAGAAATCTCATTAATTAGGGAGCAAACGAGCGAGAAGAAGAAAGAGAAAGTGAACGAGTGAATGAGCGAGCGAGCGAGCGAGCGAGTGAGAGCACCACGAGACATGTAATTATTACATATACGTGAAAGTGAATGTTGACAAACAAAAAAAATCAACACAAAAAAAAACTAAGAGAAGAAATAAGATATCTACTCAAATTTTGATTTCTGCGTGCCTGTGCAGAGAAGCAAGATATTCGTGATATTCATCGCATATTTATAAATTACTATTACTATGTAAAACGATTCTATAGGGGATGTATAATGATGTACGTTTTCGTTTTGAAAAACGAAAAGAAAAGATATATGCTACGTTCGTATATACCGATGACTTATACGATAAAAACGCCATAAATTATTATAATTAAAACGAGAAACGGGGGATCGATGGGGTGAGAAGAAAAGCGCCATGGAGAAAGATGAAACGAGGAGAAAACAATGTCGTTGTATACAACATGGTGATATAATCGTAACATAATCTCGATCTTTATAAAATATATTATAATGTCAAGAGCTTTTCGCCAAAGTATGGAAAAGGTGTGTGTGGTAAGCTTCTGCGAGAATAAGCCATCTGGAATATTATCTGTGTCCGGAGACACACCGCAGGCGCTGATTAAGTATATAAAGAGAGACGGAGAGACGCGGTGAAGAAAAGTTTCCAAAAAAAAAGTTTAAAAAAAAAAAAAAAAAAAAAAAACCGTGCTATAGACTATCGTTTCTTTCGCGTGCGAAACCGATTATCTCATTACGCGCATATTATTACGGATTACTTATTAATTGCTATTGTTAATTACGACTTTTATCGACATCATCAGCCATTGTCATTATTATTATTATTATAATTATTATTATTATTATAATATAATTGATGTGAGTGTGGACACAAAAAATAAAGTGTATGTAGTAGAAGGTCGGTCTGTTTCGCCACCTGTCGTTTCTTTCGTCGAACAATTGCGAAACTAGATAAATTTAAGTGGTCAAATCAGGTTTTTTTTTTTTTTTACGAAAGGTAACACATTTATTTCGAATGGAGAACAGGAAGAAAAAAAAGAAAAACGCACACGTTCCTGTGAACCTAAACTAACATTTTATGCTCTATTTGCGGTTCTTGAAAGTTTTATATTATTTAATATTAGTTTAAATATATATGTGTATATATATATATATATATTTATATTATAATATTAATCATATGACTCTTTTTTTTTATTTGTGAACACAACAAATTGAAACTTTTTTGTTCATTCTAATTCTCCTGCGCCACTTGCATTTCTATACTTTTTTTCGTCGTGGTAATTACACTTTTCTCCTTTTCTAATGCACACTCTTTACGGTCTGCGTTGTCTGATAATGTACACGATGTTGAAAACATTCCGACCTTCGTTTCCTCTTTCGAATCAATTCTGCTTTCTTCATTAACGCGCTTTTCAGGATTTTCGGAAATCTCCGACATCTCGTCAAATCTCTTGAAGACAACCTGAAAAAAATGTACACATAGATTTAATATGTGTTATTAAACACACGAGAAATTATAAATTTTAGTTAATTTTGTTATTTTCATCGATTTGAGATAACAAATATTTGCGCAATTATATGTACCGTAACATCTTTCTGATGACAATCAATAGTGTTTTGACGATCGTGCAAGTTTTCTTTGATATCTCGTTGCCTCAAACTTCGTTCGCTATCCTCGAAGGTTGCAGAACTCTCGGAAATCACTTCGATCAGTGGTTCGACCGATTTTTTTATCGAACATTCTTCCAGTGATTTATTGTCAAATGACTCCTTTGATTCTTGATTGGCCGTCGCGAAATCTGGGCTGATTAGCAATTTCTTTTTGCTTTCTAACTCGTGCAAATAATCGCAAGACTCTTTGTAATGAGACACGGCATTTTCAACCGGTGAGTCCGGCTTGGAAGTATTTTTGGATTCACAAAAGAGATTGGCGAGCGATTGAATATCTAGAACAGATTGATTGACACTAAAATTGTGTACTTATTTTGTGAGTTCAATCCTAATCCTGTAAATCTCTGAACTTGTTTCCGAGCGATTTTTTGAAAATGAAACATCTTAAAACTCCTACTTAGTCAAAAAATTTCTGAAAAATAAAAACATCAAAAACTAATGTTATTTCCTTAATTAAAAATGTTGAATAAAACCTTGAATTTTTTAAAGACTTTTTTGCACGTTTTAATATTAGTATACCAATAAAAAATCGCGTTGGACTAAATATCAGAGTTTACAGAATTAAAGTTAGATTGTGTACTGTATCGTGATTGTTTACTGCAGTCTTACCCAAATTATTGGTCAACGCAGCGTATGGCCATAAATTTGTTACGTTGGTAGATTCGTTTTTGTACTTATCACATAAGTTACTTCGTTCTTCACTTGCGGATTTCTTAAAATCTATTTTCGACTCGAAGCCAGACGGCAGAAATTCTCCGAGACTTCTTCGATCGTATTTATGGCACAGTTTTTTACCGGAATTTTCCGCGTCTTCCATCAGACTTGCTATGCACTTGTCGATCAACGGCGACGCCTTCTTCACGAATTTCCTCGTCTCCTGTATCACGTGCTGTCTACATCTCTCAGAAATTTGACTCCGAGGTCTACGTTTTTCCGGTTTTCTTCTGGAATAAATTACCTCGTCGCAGTTACACTCTTCCTCGCTGTATTCGATGTCTTCAACCTCGCGGATTCTTTTTCCCGCAAGTCTGGAAAACTGACTTGTTCTTTTCAGAGACGAGTGAGTCTTTGGACCGATCCAGTCTTTGGTCCGGAGCGACTTTCCGGGCCGGTCTCTTAGACAGTATAAACCTGCTTGAACAGAACCGGTAAGACTCGGTAAGTTCAGAAGATCCGATTTGCCATTTGATGATTCTATTTTGTCAGAAAAGTTTTCCATTTTATCAATATTCTTGTTCTCGCAAATCGCGTCATTGTGTTCTTCGTCTATTTTCTTGTGACTGTTTGCTACATCGTCAATGTTTTCATTATCAGTTAAACCACGATCTGTGCAATTATCTTTCGCGTAAACCGTATTTGAACCTTCAGATGATTCTTGATTGTTGTCTAAACTTTGCGAGTCTTCTTGAACGGACGTTGCCGTTCTGAAGGAATCGGCGTCTGATTCGTCGATGGTTTTTCCTTCTTCCAAGGATTCAAGTGAAAGATCGACGAATCTGTCTTCCAACGTTTCAGTTTTCACAGACTTCGTGTCCGCGATATTTTCACAGTTCGACGATTGCTTGTCAGAATCAACGAACTCCGTCGAGTTGGTAATTCGAGGAATGATATTTGACATTTTTTCTTCTGGAGAAGAAATGCTATCCGATGCTTTTTCCTTGTCTAGAAGAGAGAGATCCAGTATTACATTTTCTGTGGAAGAGATATTTGGTTTTTCCGCTCCTACGTCGATTCTCGACTTTTCGTCATTTTCCGCATCTTTTGCAGAATATGTTTTTGTTGAATCTACTACAAGGACACTCGTCGAAGAATTCGTCGCCGTCTTTGAATCACAAACACTTTGAATATTATTTGTGATATCGGCTGTCTGATTTTTGTCATCCGACGAATAGTGATCGGAATTTTTTCTTGTGTCTTCAAGTTTCATCTTGTTTTTCCTCGCCTCGTCCTCTCGTTTTCTTAAGATCTCCTTGACCTTCAATTTTCTTTCCCTACTGCACCACCATCGTAACTTATTTTCTTCTTCGCTCGCGGAAACCTTGTCCTCGGTTTCTCGGTTCTCGCTTTCGTCAACGGATTCACCTTGCGGGTGTTCATTTGCTGTCTCTCTCTCGCTCCAGAATCCTTCCACCTCGCCGTTCTTGAACACTATCTTGTTTTCGTCAACAAACCTATCCATACCGTCGCAGAACTCTTTCATTTCTTCCCGAATGCTGCTAAGTTTAGAACAAATCGAATAGTCTTTGCTCTTTCTCTGATAGATCTTCGGTTTCTTATCTTCTTCTAATATTCGTTTTAGATCCGACGTGTCGCACGATACGGAGCACAATGTTTTCTCAATGTGATCTGCGAAAAACAGTCGCAATTATTCACTGAATAAAATCAAGGTAATAATTCGATCACGGATAACGTGTATTTTTTTTGCGATTACATTCAAAACTGTGCGATATCTGAAAGCGTTACTGACACCACGCGGAACTCTTGCTCTGTGACAAGATATTTCGTCCGCGATGTGTTAACACCAAAACAATCGAACTCGTCAAAATGATTTCAGAAATGCGGTCTATTTGCAAGAAACGAGTTGTTTTATTTTAACAAAAAACAAAAAAAAATAAGTGTAAAAAAATATTAAAAACCTTTGCAGCTCTAAACGCTTTTTGTTAATTAAATATTTAGATAAATCAAAGAAATTAAAAGAGATGTTCATTAAAATACTCATCAAATTCACGGATCCTTGATAAAGAAATATATACTCAACTCTGATTATTCTAGTGTTAAATATATATATTTATATATGTTAGAATAAAAATTGCTCTCTCACCTATTTCATTGATGTTATCGCTGTCAATCGATCTTTTTGTAATTTCTTTCTTGTTCATTTCTCTTTCCGTTACTGTTTTTTCATTTTCAAAAGTGACAATTTTCCTGTCGACGATACAGTCGCCGATTAGATCCTGCACATTCTCAGAACCATTCGAGACTTGTTCCCCGCGCGATTTTCTATCCGCCTCATCGGGAGAGCATTGTGCGAACTCCGATATTTCTTCGATCAATATTCGCGATTGAGTTTTTTCTCGATCCTAAATCGCAAAGAATAGGTGAACAAGTTTTTGTCTCTTCTGAAATCCATTTGATACAAGAACCACAAAGATCGCATATACCTCGGCTTTCCAGGGCAGCAGAATCTCCCCGTTGTTTCCGTCGGTGACTTTTCTCTCTTCCTCCGCCATTGGCCTCCTTCCGTCACTTTCCTCGCCGCTTTTTTGCCGCTCGCGCTCGTTTTCTTCGTCGCTCGTGAGCTCCTGATCCGACGACGACGACGACGACGAAGATGCGTAGAAACCGAGGAAAGATCGCTCCTCAGACTTTTTCTTTCCTTCCAGGTCGAGCTTCAGCGTGTTCGCCAGCTTTGCGGGAGAGATCGGAAGGAGTGTGAGGAGTTTTTGCGGCACGTAACAAAATTTTAATTATACAAGATTGCAAGCAAACCAATCGCAGGTTAGGTTCGTCTTTGGTCGAAAAAAAAACAAACAAACGCGTATCGTCACGTCAAAAAAGCCGCATGTAAGATGCGAAAATAATGGCGTAAATTTTGATCCAAGATTTTGTTCTGGACAATATAGCGCTCGGTTTTATACTAGAAGTGTTGTTTTTTTTTATCTTTATTGGTCATTAAAAAATAAAAAAAACGGGAAACAAAGACTGATCAATGCTTTTAGCGCGAAAGCGAGCTGTCCGAACGCAGCCTGGATATAATTCGGTTTTCAACTTACTGGACAACGATATAAAATGTGTGCGAACGCGAGAGTTTCGTTCCTATTTCTAATCCCCTTGGGATGAAATAGTCGACGGGACCGATAGGTGGTGATATTATTCGAAGCACGAATTCTGTACCAGACCTTGACAAAACTAGTTCTTACCAGTCCGCTGCTCCTCGTCGCGGTGCGCGCGCTTGACTTCGCGGCGACTTCTTCGTTCTTCTTCTCATCCTCCTTCTTCTTCTTCTTCTTCTCTTCCTCTCCCTTCTTCTTATCCGTCGCCTCCTTTTCGGACGTCTCGACCGGTTTGCACAGCTTTCTTTTGTTTATCAGGGCTTTCGAGGGCGGACGCGGCAGTCGACAAGTAAACAAAGACCGAGATCGGTGCACAGAACAGGTGAAAGGAGTCAAAGGGACCGAAAGAGCGCGGCCATTTCGAGAAACCGTCAAATCGTTTATATTACTTACCCATGACGCTGTCGTTGATTTTCTTCTGCTCCTCCTGAATCCATCGTTTTCTCTCGGCCGTCTCTTCGTCGACGCCACCGCGCGACCTGCGATCCGGCGAGATAATTTTTTTTTCTTTTAAGGATGAAATATTCAATTGTGACAATTAATTTTGTCGATAGATTTTTACCAGGCCTCGGCGCAGGCGCGATCGCGCGGAAACACCGGCCGATCGTCCAGGTACTGGAGATCCTTGCACTTCAGAATCATGGTCTTGCGATACATCTTTATCACCTTCAGCACCGGATTGCCGGTTAGACACAGAACCCGCAGCGATTTCATGTCTCCCAGAATCTAAAGATTTCATCTTTTTTTTTAACGCGCTTTACGCAAAAAAAAAGATCCGTTCGGAAAAAACTGCTTCTTCTCGCGTAAGAAATTTTTTCTTGCAATAAATTTTCAAAAACATTTGTTTTCTTATTTTAAATAGAAATTATTTAAATTTGTGTGTGTGTTATTCAACGTTTTAATACGCGGAAAGTTGTTTTTTTTTTTTTGTAAATAAAACCATCATGTTTCGCGTACGCGCGCGTAATTATCGACTTACGTCAACGACGTCGCAGGTGTCGATCCTGTTGTGAGAGATGTCCAAGATCGAGATCGCGTGGAGCAGACGGAGATGCTCGATGTCAGCGGTTTCTTGTAGATAGTTGTGCGACAGGTTCAAGTTGGTCAGGAACTTGAGGCCGTCTGAAAAGCAGGAACGCGTCAAGGTCAAGGTCATCGAGAGACACCTCGCGCGTGGGATTCGAGTTACCGAGATTCTCGATCTTGCGTATCGTGTTGTGCGAGAGATTAAGAGTGTCGAGCTTCGTCTGGTAGTCGAGATTCTCGATCTTGTCGATGAGGTTGTGGTGAAGATAAAGACACTTGAGTTCGCTCTGGTTTTCCAAGTTGGCGATCTCGCGAATACCGTTGCTCTCCAGCCACAAGCACTTCAGACCCGTGTATTTTTCGAGATTCTCGATGAAGGAAAATCCTGAAATTTAACAACTTGGATGGATAATTGCGTTGTCCGGGTCAGTTGTGTTGTAATTAGATCTTATTATCGCGCGCACATGCCTTTATAGTGCAAGTACAGAACGTCGTTCAGATACGGAGTGAGATAAAGACTCTTCTCCTTGCAATGCTTCCTGATCAGTTCCTCTGTCATTCTATAAAATTATTAATAAATAATGATAAATATGAACAGCTTCAAAAATTTTTAAATATTAACAAATATGTGGTTATTGGCTGTTTGGAGCAAAACGCAGATGTTGATGTGTGTATTTAAGAAAGTTTATTGTGACATTTTTGTAAGTTTTGTCAACAATACTGTAATTTTTTTTTATTTTTTTATTTTTGCGAGCAATATATTATTTATCATTCTTGTAGAAACATATTGAAAAAGAACCTAAACCTAAAGGTCGAAAACGTTCTACAACATTGTCACAATAAACTTTGTTGATATTTATCACATATTTGTTGATATTTATAAAATTATTATTTATGTGAACTCGATATTATAGAAAACATATCAAACAAATTACATATATTTTTTTTACAAAGACTTTACCTAACACCATGCCTTTTTTCATCGAAATCGTAAATCTTTCCCGTGATGTACGTTCTTTCTGGTTTCTTTAACTCCTCGAAAACAGAATCGTCTGATTCCGAATCGATATCAGTTGCCGTCACATCAGTCGTCACTTCGGACGTTTCATTCGGAAGTTGTTCATTCATTTTTCTGTCAATCTCGGATTTATCTTCGCATTCTTCATCGACATCTTTGTCTTCATTGTCTCGCACTGATTCTTTCTTCAAAGTCTCTTCCTGAAGCTCTTCTAGCTCCGTGGTAAGAATTTTCTCGTATTCGTCCATCAGCTTGTTGTGCTCTTTTATCTCATTCGCGAGCTCTTTTTCTAATTCCTCGATTTTCAAATTCTCGGTTATCTCGGACTTCGTCAGAGGAAGTTCAAGATTTTCAGGATCAATCTGAAACTCATCGAGACTGTCGGAATCGACGTTGTCCGAAAACATCAATCCGCACGGATCGTCGGACGCGCGAGAATTGTCGGTGCGATCGGCGACGAGCTTGTCGATTTCTTCGAATTTTTTCGACAGACCTTCCAGCGACTCGTTCTTTCGATCTTCTATTTTTCTCTTCTCCTCGGCTATCTTCTTCAGGGTCTCGTAGATCTCGGCGTGCGATCTCGGTCGATTGTAACACGTGATCTCGGCTAATTTCTGCAAATTGCTCTCGACAATGTCGGGCTCCGACGACGCGGTAATCGTTTCAATCCTCTCATTTTCCAAAATCGCAGCGTTTTTATTCTCAATAAAATAATTCGCCTCTTCAGTTTTTGTTCCGCGTTCATCGTCATTTGTCGTCTCTTTCGCAGATTTGTCCACCAACCGATCGTCATTACAATTCTCCGTTGCTTGGCTCGTGAAAGCGTACGGGTTGTTGGTCAGTATTTTCTCCGCCTCCTCGATGGTTTTTAAAATATCTTCCTTGGCGATGGAAGTGTCGGAAGCAACGCGACGACGCGGACAAAATTTGCCTCCTTTTTTCTTGATCACGTGATCGCTACTCGATCTTCTGAGATCCACGTTTGCATTTTCGCAGATCGGTGAATATTGTCGAACGGAAATGTCAGAACAGTTGTCCACGATGATTTTTCTCATTACATCGTCGTTCTCCGCGTTTGAAGACAAGGCGTTCGCCATTCGCTCTTCGACCGAGTCGCGTTGGTCCTTGTCATCATCCGTGCACAACAGATTCGAGATTATCTTGTTCATCTCTTTTATTTCTGTAATCGATTCTTCTATACCGTATTCTTCTTCGGCGCTTGCGACACTGAACGGATATTTCACACTTTCTTCTGTGCATTTCAAGAGATCAATATCGTCTTTGAGATAATTTTCGTCATTGTTTATATAATAATTACCGCAGTCTATCGTCGAAGCGGCCATATTGTTTATATCTAATCCTTCTTGTGGAGAATGTTCGATATTGCTTACAGTTAAACCGACATTTTCTTCGAACTTTGTTTCTTCTCTAATCTCTTCTCTGTCTTTTTTCACGCGCTTGACGTACGATGCGCATGCGACGCCATTATTTTCAATCTCACTTAGCAAATCGACGTAACTGTCGGTGATTTGCTGTACAGTCTTGCTGTGATTGTCTCTTACGCTATTCACGGAAATTCCTGAATCGATGGATTTTTCATCTTGATGATTGTTGACGCGACACAGATTTTCGCACGACGTTAAGTCGAGATTTTCTGACAATTCTAAACCGGCAAAAAAATTCGCGCATTTATCGTCCATTACAGGAAACTTCTCTTGAATCGTTTTCTCGCTATCGTTACCATCTTTCTCTCGAATTTTCCCGTCGGCGTGCTCGAAATCGTGACATACGTCGCTCGTATTTATTCTCGAATTAAAGTAAGACAGATCCGCGTGGCTCGTATCGAACAACCGATCGTAATTTAAAGGAACTTGCGGTGGGTCGTCTTCATTGGTGCTGTTTGTTGCTTCAATTGTCTCACTTCCGCATAAATTTTCACTTTTTTCCACTTCAAATTGCGTATTCCCGACGAGATCCGCCGTGATAGAGTCTGCAATCTCGAGCACCGCCGGACGATCCTTGACGATCTTAACAGATACGAATTACGATTAATCTGCTGTATTATCCAGCATACGAATTCGGGGAGGAAAATATAGACACTTTAAATTTCAATGTAGAAACGCTAAAAATAACGCGAGACAGATAGAGACGAAATGAGGAAACCACGGATCGATATGTAAAAACTTCGATGTGGTTTTAATTATCAATAAAATATCGCGTTAACGTGCGAATTTATTTTTTTTTTTTTTACCTCATGTGCGGACACGACATGTTTGCAGGTAACCATAGTGGACGTTCGATTCTTATCTTCCGCTAGAGAAGAACCGACGGCGAGATCGCGCGAGTCATCTAGAACGTTATCCGCGTCAGATAATTCGAACGTGCTCATGATCAGTCTTCCGATCGAATGGTTTTTTTCTTTTTTTTTTTTCGGAAAACGCGTGAATCTCCGAGTCGAGTTTGACACGAATATAATCTAAACTGAAAACAAGAGCGTGACGGTTGTTAACGTCACAGCTACGAGTTTTGTTTGATCGATAGAGAGAATCGACTCTGTACCTTCGAGGTATATGTACGTGTATGTGCGCACGTACACAGTCATGTGTAGGTATCCTACTATGAAATGTAAAAATCATTTTCCGACTTATCAGATGTACCGACGCGCGCCGTATTTCGCGGCGGATAAGAATAATAAGGAACGCGAAATTTTTTTTAAATTTTTTTTTTAGTTTGTTTTTCTTCATCTCGCGCGCGCTCTCTGCGAGATCCACATGCGTATATCTATCATCGGGTCAATCGTCTTCGCGGCTTTTCTCGCGGTGAAAACCGCATCGCATTCCTAATGCGGCTGCGAGAAAACACCGATGCCGCAGATTGGCATAGATGATCGATCGCGGCGCGGACCGACCGGGGCAACACACAGGGCACACAATGTTGGCCGGTTAGTACGGGGTGTCTCGTCCGTGATATCTATTCGTCAGCGATCGTCTCTCGCTTTGTTTTCGTTGCGTCTGGATGCAACTAACACACATGGGTATGGCCGCTTGTTTTTCCTCTCGGTTTCAGATGCCGCGCGCTCGTCCCTCGCCCGGCCTCCCGTCCCCCTTCCCACTTCCCTCCTCCCGTAGTGTCATCGTGGTCGTCGTCGGGCTCGTCTCCGACGATGATGTTCTTCGCGAATGATACTATCGACATAATCCAGCGGAAAAGGCGCGCGGTGGCGATTCGCAAATGCGGTGGCGCTCTGTGTGGATCGTGATAGCGGGAAATCGCGACACGCACACACGTACACAGAACGCGAATCTCTCTCCTTCGCGCACACATAAGATCATCCTTTTTTATTTTTCCCTCAAGGTGCGTCGTCGCTTTACGGTCGTCTACTTTCCAGACGCCGCGCCTTTCTGCGCAGCATCTGCGATGGCAGATCCGCTCCGCGTCTCCTCGCCCCGATAATAGCAAATTCGGTTCTACCACTCGTGCAATATTCTGCATTCCCCGTTTGTTGTCGCGACTATTGTCTCGCATATATATGTCTTGCGCGACTCGACTTCTATCGGTTTCAAATATTTTCAGGATTACCAAGTAAGACAGACGTAGGTTTTTTTTTATACGTATATAGTGGATAGTTTTTACAATTTTTGTTGTGCGAAAACCAAAGAATGAAAATTGAATTGACGACCAATGAGTGATTAATTGATGTCTCTTAATCGCGAGAACGTTATCACTGCTGTGATACGGTCACACTTCGTCAATGTTTCTCGATTAGATAAGTCCCGCGTGTCTACGCGCGACTTACGTCACAGAAAAACGCACTTTTTCGCGAGTCGATGGTGAAAAGTTTCGGTTTTGCAAGATTTTCGCGTATATTCGCTGTTGCGTCAATTAGGACGCGGGTAATGGACAATAAAAGTCAAATAATCACAATGAAAAATTCTAATCCTTCCCGAGTCGAAATTTAAACCCTACTTTACAGGAAAAAAAGAAAATTTCGGACGTATAGCAGCGTCAAAGTAGCATCTACTTTTTTTCTTACTCCTACTTTGAGCATATCAGAGCCTATTTTGAGCCTATCAGAACCTGCAATGCGCAGTCTGAGCTGAGAATTGTACCCTACTTTAAAACTTTAGCAGGAAAAAAGGAAATTTCAAACGTATAGCAGCGTCAAAGTAGGATCTACTTTCTCTCTTACTTCTACATAAAAAAAAAAGAGGAATTGAGGTTCAATGTAGACGCTAAATTTCGATTCGGGTTGTTCTTATTAGATCAAGAGGCGCGGTATAGTGCCAAGTTCACGCGCAACCAAGTCGCGTATTTATAAAATATCAGTTAGGCTATATTAGTTTCAAAATGACACCAACGAGTGAGGAAGGTTGCGATCAGAAGTTTAGCCGACCGTTAGTGACAATGCGCAGGCAATTTAATTCTAACACTATTATTTGCTGACACAGAAAAGGTGAGAAAGAGAAATGCAAGAAGCCTACACGGAAGTTACACGTGTCTTGACAACGCGTAATGCGACCTCTTTGGCCACAACGATTTTGCCACGTGAATGATATTACGTTTGGGATACATATCAATGTTCTGCAACGTCAGGTTAATAAAACTTATCAAGCGGAAAGTTACCGCAATGTGCACTGAAGATATTACTTTTCTTCTGAACATTTAACCGCGACAATCTGTCGCTTTTTTCCTTACAGAAATTTATTAGTGGCCGAAATAATTATACTTATTTTTTGAATATTAAATTGTTGAACAATGTTTTTTTTTATTATCTAAAGTAAATATTATTTCAATAAAGTACTGTTTAGGAATTTAAATCGGTTGTTTTATAATACAGTAAATTCATGTTTAATATTATAGTTTTGTTTGTTTGAAATAGCACATGGAAAAAAGATTAGCTACTATACCGCTAGCAAAAAATTATCGAATTAAGCCTGTTGAATTTTTGTTTCGTCAATAAAACATTTTGTTGACGAAACAAAAACAATTCGATAGACTTGGCAAATTGTTTTTGCTGGCGGTATAAAGCAAGAGCAAAAATTTTTTTCCACGTATACGTTTTACACAAAATATTTACGACGATTATCAAAAACGCAGCATAAGAATTAATATTTTAATAAATATTCTTTTACCAATTTCACATATATTTAAACTGAATTTCATTTAATTGAACAACGAGATTATACGTTTAACAGTCGTGTCAGATCATTCCGTCTGGTTGACTTCTAAAAGCGCGATACACGCATGTCGATGTTGCAGAACGTTATCTCTTTGACTTTTTTATCGGCTAAAAATACACCCTGCACACGATTGAAGATCGCAGATATAAATTTTTGGTACTGTATTTTATTTCTTGCGAGACACCTCGTGACCGTGACCTCGAGGATTCACCATAGCGACGGACAGATGAGCATGTACAGTGTGTACCGAAGTTCGTCGCGAAAGTAAATCTCGCGAGAACTGATCAACTGATCAACCTCGATTTTAATAAGAATAAAAAAGAAAGAACGTGTGTATTTTAATATTTATTTTTCTCTGCTGAAAACTTAGGTTTTTTTAAGTACATGGAGATCACGTTACACAATTCAGTAATATCTTTTTTGTTTAAACAGAAAACCATACGCAGTGTGTGTAGAAAAATGTTAAAGTAATCGGAAATTATACAAATGCGCGATCGTCGATGAAGAAATCTATAATGAAGATCTTTATTTGGCGGGGACACACGCGTGTGATATTCGCGACACCCCTTACATCGCATAATGTACGACTCTTACACGACTGGGATCGCGATTCTAATGTATTATGTAATTGAAGATCTCTTCGGCGCGCAAAAGTCTCCCCCGTGCCGGCTTTTTGAAAAGCAAAGTAGCCGTGGGTGGCCATCTTCTTCTCCTTGCGAATGCAGGATCGCGCGTTACGGGTGGAGGAGGCGGAATCGTATTTGAATACGCTTTGAATCGACGATCGGCCGTGAATGTCTCGGCAAGAAATTCGTCGATTTAAAGACCGAAACGGGAAGATTCGCGCGGCCACGGTCAACGAATTATAAAGTATAATTGTTTTACGTCAGCTGATTGTCAGCGGTTTATCAACGTAATCAAGATTTTCGATGGTGATTTATATTTGTGAATATTTGTGTGTTTTTTTGTTTTTTTTTAAATTAAACCAAACGACAATCAAAAGCGCGATTTTGATTTTCATAGAATTTTTTTCTTTTTTTTTTTTTTTTGTTACTGAATCGTCGCGCAAAAAAGTCAAGGTACAATGAACACGTCACGGGAGACTTTGTAAATCGCTTCGATAAGTTACGAACCATTACCAAGTACAATTCATGGCAGGTTCAGGCATTCGTACTTCGTTGAACTTCGGGCCAAGGAAATTACTTGCAAGAAGCGATACGTGGACCATGACCGCTCTCTACGATCTTCAAGAAGAATAAAATTCCTGACAACTACATTCAATCAATACAGATCAAATGGCAATTCTCAGAATAAACCGTTCTTTTAGTTTTCTAGTTTTTTTTGTGCGTGTCAAATTAAAATTAAAAAAAATATTTCGGACGTTTGATTATATATTCTTCGTTCGAACGCGGTATGAGTTTGCGGTAGGATGATATTCGTATCGATATTCCGCGCGTGGCAGAAAAACGTGTCTGTACTGCAAGAAAAGCGTCTATTATCCTCACTTGATCAAGCGTCGGGGAGAGAGGAGGGAGGAGAGGGAGAGAGAACAAGGGAAGAATCCGGTGACGACCGGCGAAGAAATCAATGCGAAAACGATCGGCTTGATGTCATCCCCGAATCCGAATGAGGTTCAAACCGCATGTGAAAACCGTCCGTTAATATACGTATAACGGGCAATTCAAAGTTTTGAATTTTTGTAGGTCATCAAAAATTTGAGAAACCGATCGAGTGAAAGAAGATCCTGTCGCGAAAATACCGTTTGTCAAAAAGACGCAACGCCGTTCCGGAGAAAAAAGAAACAACAACTTGCGTTTAGTTTTTTTTATTCCAGAATGTATTTCAGAACGAAGAGAATACATAAATTGTAAACGCAACATAGTTCGCTACACGCTGCGAAGACGCTGTAAAAGAAGCTTGGCGTGTTATCATTATTTTGTCTGTGGGGATAAACGCGAAGTTTATTATAACTTGCGGTAAATGTATGTATGTAACTTATCTCTTCTTCGGAGGGAGTAGTGTGAAATAAGAGAAATGCAAACCGAGAACGTCTAACATGAGACTAACGTTTCTTCCCGCGGTCGGAGCGTGTGTAATGATGCGACGAAGTATTCTCGGAATTTTTTTCTCATTTGCAGACACTTTTCTCAGAACGTTCTTATAGACGTATCTTTTTTTTTTTTTCAGCGCGAATATGAGTTCTTTATAAACTTATATAATTGCAAAATATAGAGACAATTTAAAGCACACGCAACTCTATCTCACACAACTCTATTAACGTCCGTGACAAAATGTTATTCTTTATCTTGTGTTAAATGTTATTCTTTATCTTGTGTTAACGCGATTTTAAATATTTTATTAAGTTTTCTATTGTTTGGCGCGCAAGAAAAAATTAAATATCTGAAAAATCG